CAGAGAATATCTGAAGAATGAAAGTGCATGCTATGAACAAGGTAACACTCACCTCTTCCACAAGAGACCAGTACTCGCAGTCACTGCTGATGCTCCCAGGAATGCTGCCATCATTAGTCGTCTCCTAATCTGCATGGGCTGCGATCCTCCATGGTACCAACGAGTGCCCAAAGTTCGTTCTGCCAACGTAGAGAGTGAGCGAAGACGAAACATCCTGTAGACAAAAAGTAGAAATGTTACTCCTTGCTAGTAGTGGCAGCAGTGACGACGATGAGAACGATATCATCGATATTGCCAATGAACACGGATTAAATCGTTACTCTATAGTAGTTACTACTCTCAACACTTTGGATATATTATCTCATTTAATCCTCAGGACAATCTCCTTCGAAAGGGACTAATTATAAACCCAAGTATCTAAGTCAAGGGCTGATGAATAAGAGACAGAAACAACACGATCATTTGAACAGGGAAAGTTTAATACAAGTAATTTTTCATGTGCAGTGAATACTATAAGGTAAAGAGAAAGCAGATGTAAGGAACAGACTTCTACAGCTGAAGTGGAGCGGCAAGAAAGGAACACAGGGCTGAGGGCTATTCATATTATCCCTGCTTTCTCAGCAAAAGGCTGAGCACAGGCAAGCATGTGCAGCAGACCTTGCTGGACAGCTGTCTTCTGTGGTGATGGAGGAAGCCATCTAAAAGAAGGTGCCATTTCGGGGGCCCTTGCTAGAAAGGTGTCCTTCAGAGTGCCAGAGGAAGTCATTCAAGCAGAAAGGGCAGCACATGGGTCTCACTGGAAGCCGCATGTGGGAGTACTGCACTGTATGCCACTGAGAGGCCGGTGTGCCACAGGATCATAGAGAGCACAGGTCCCAAAACGTATTGTTTCCGCCACCATTTCAGGGGGGAAATTACTCAGCACTCTCCTGGCAATTAAAACATTCTGTACTCTAGACCATAGTCCATGATAAAGTACAGGTATCTACACTTTTTTTTTAAAACTCAAACTCAAGTCAAGTCCATCTCATAGTGACTTTCTAGAACAGGGCAGAACTACCCCTTGGAATTTCTGAGACTGTCACTCTTTATGGGAGTAGAACATACTGTCTTTTTCCCATGGAGTAGCTGGTGGTTTTGAACTGCTGACCTTGAGGATCTCAGCCCAA